GAAAGGGAATGAATGTAGCAAACGGGTCAGGGTTGTACAAAAAAATGCGGGTTTGAACATGTTGCTCTATTTACATCTGGGAGCAGGCTCTCCCTGACATCACGCACAGCAGCTGCACTTGTCCGATGCTCCTTTGCAGACACAGCCCTGGGCGCACCGAGCACAGCCCACGGGGCAGCAGGAGCAGCAGCCTGGGGAGAGCAGGGGTAAATAAGAGGTCAGAGACTTTACCAGGCACCTCTCTGACCAATATCAGGCTTGTCACAAGCCTTGGGTCTCAGAGGACCCTGAGTACAGAAAAGCATGATCTGTCCTGAGATAATGAATAGAACCTTGGGGGTTGGGTTTCACCGGGAAAGGCTGGCCTGTCCCATCTGGGCCCAGGACAGGGCAGGAAGCCTGCAGCAGCAATGTTAGGGTCCCAGGGGCAATGCAAGACCAACCCCCCCACCCCAGAGCTATCCACTCACAACCAGCTCTGGGCTCCCTCCCTTGTCTGAGCCCAACCCCCAGATTCCCAGAGAACGCCCTCACTTACTCTTCTTGCAGGAGGTGCATTTGCAGTCTTTACATTTGCAGGAGCCGGCACAGGTGCAGGAGTCACCTGTAAAGAGGAGAATGACAAGCAGGGAGATGTGAGTGTGATGTGGGAGAGACAGCAGTTCTCAACGATGCTCTCCGCACCGCCTCCTCTGGGCAGGGCGCAGCCCTGGGAACTCCTGTCCCACATGGAACAGATGTAAGCCTAACTCTACCTTCTCTGTCCTCCTGCTGGAGCAGATGGGGCACTCCTTGTATTTACCCCACAGGGATGGTCCCAGGCTCCAGACCCAGTTCAGGAATGATGGGGCCAGGACTTTATGTCTTGAGCCCAGAAGAGGCCATTTCCCCTGCCTCCCACTTAGCACAGGCAACTTAGAGGCTTGCGCAGAGCACCGAGGCCAGCTCCAGTAGCCCCATGACACCTGGATGGTGTGGAGCAGGACAGCCTTGAGCCTCAGGCCTCTAGTCCTCAGAAACAGGAGCCCATGGGAGGCTGGAAATGCTTAGACGGGGGATGAAGGCTCTTGGCTAGGGAGAAAGCACAGGACCAACTACAGATGTCCACTTCCTCTTACGCTCAAAATGCTCCCTCCTCCACCCCAGGGACACTGGGTGCTAGGAACGGGGCATCCAGAGGCCCAGAGCTGGGGGTCCTTACCAGTGGCACAGGAGCAGTTGGGGTCCATTTCGAGCAGAGGTGAGGCAGGAGGTCCAAAGCAAGAGGCGAAGAGGCACTTGTGCTGGTAGGACGCGTGGTGGCGACTACGAGCCCGCGTGCTCACTTTATAGCCAGAGGAGGTGGCCCGGGCGCAGAGGCCCCGCCCCAGTCCTTGCACCCGCCCCTGCTCTTGCACTCTGCCCCACGGAGTCGTGCCGCCCGCAGCGCGGTAAACGGGGCTGCGCGCACCTGGCCCGGCGGGGCCGGGCGCATCATTCCCCCTATCGCCTTTAGGCTCTGTGCGCACAGCGCTGATGGCCCCGTTGGCGCCCGATCACGAGGAGGGACTTTGTACCGTGACTCACAGGGCGCCCCAAGCTCCCTGCTGGCCTTTCCCAGCCCCCCCCCCCCGGGAGCAGCAAACTGTGGTCTCCATGCCCTTGTTATTGGAATCCAGGCCATGTGACCTAGCTGTCTTTCTCATCCCTACCCCCCAGGCACTTGTCCTCAGGCTTGTCCCTGGCAGAAACCCATGTACTACAAGCTCTAGCCCTGTTCCTGACTTGAAGGAGCGGAGGAGGGACAAAAGGGAGTCGTGTGCAGAGGTCGAGCCTGCAATGGCACCCTAGCGTCCCACCCACATTTCTTCTCCCTGTCCCCCCACACCGGGCCTTCAGCCCCTTTCCTGCTGTACACTGGCCTCTGCCGCTTGCCCTCCTTCCAGTCTCCACCGGCAGGGACCCATGGCCATGTTTGTCCTGGTCCTTCTCGGAAAACTCTAGTGCTCCTCCCCACAGCTTGCTGGTACCCCCGGATCCAGGCGGTTCCCACAGTGTGGCGTACCCCCAAAGGAGGGATCATGTTAGGTAATGGGAAGACTTGGCTTTGAGTAACACAGCAAGAAAAGTGGTTATTTCTCCTTTCCCCCTCCTTTCCATGACATAGCACTTAGTACCAGCCCCTGTTTTAATCACTTTAGATCGTTGTACCCTCCCAATGACCCCAAAATGGAAATGCTTTTACTTAAGAGTCCTTTTTACTAATAGGACTACTTCCACTTGAGGAGTCGACAGTTACTTGCCCAAGGTCACAGAGCTAGGCATTTGCATACTAAATTGAACCCAGTCAAGCTCCCAAGGGAAAGAGAAGGTCTCTGATAAACCACCCTGTGGGCTAGGTCTGTTCACAACCCTTCTCTACTGAGCCTGTGGGCTAGGCCTGTCTTCAACTCTTCGCTACTGCTTGAAGTCATTTAAATAAGAGCCAGCTGCCAGCTCAACCATGGGCAGCAATACAAATGACCCTTAACTGAAATATAAATATTTTTATTTTATGTATCTGGCCATCTTCTAAATCTGGAATTAGATACTATCAGTAGTGACAAAGGTTTGCTTTGCATATGACTATACTTAAGAAAATATGAAGCATTTCAAGGTGAAATGTTGGAATCAAATATGGTGTAGGTGGTAGCACACATGGCAGGCTCCTTTCGGCATCTGAGAAGGCACAGAACATCCTGCTCATCACTTGACATCCTTAAGTGCTGATGACAATTTTGTGGGAAGAGTGAAGGGACCCTCTGGTCTGTGGGTCACCTCCCCATGGGGTTGATGTGGAAACCACAGGACACACAGCCCGGCACACCAGCCCTAGCTTACTTGCCTGGAGGTAAATAAATTTCCCCCAGAATATGTAGAATAATCATAAGGAAATAGCTAGTATTATAGACCACTCATCACATGCCAGGACCCACAGTAGGTTCGGTGCATATACGGACTCATTCACTCCTATGGACCATATGATTTTATTTTGCCCCTTTACCGTGGAGGAGACAGAGCCACAGAGAGGGTATGTCACAGGGCTATAAGTGGCACAGGCGGGACGTGCACTCATGCAGGCCGACTGCAGCACCGTGCCCTCACCCACCACTCTACACCCTGACTTCACATGGAAGATGAGCTTGCTGAGATCTGGCCCCGAGGCAGCAGCTGGCAGTCGACAAGGCTCCGTGACCTCTCTGAGCTTTGTTTTCCATGTCTCAACTCAGGGGCACAACTGGGTCTTCTCAAAAGGCCCTTCTAGCTCTGAATAATGAGAGCCACAATTTAGCACCCAATGACAACACGATCAGCCAGCTGTGGCCAGGGAGTGAGGCTACCTGTAGCATAGGTTTGGATAGGTGACTTCTGAGCTATGTGACCTTGGGCAGTTTGCTTAACCTCACTGGAAAATGGCATAATCACATCAACCCCTCCATTTCCAGGCTCCTGTCTGGATTAAATGACATGACAGATAGGAAAGGCTTTCCTGTCTATCCAAATGCTGTGGCAGTGTCTTGTCCCAGGTGGTTCATTGTAGGAGTTTATCCATAGACCCCCTGGTACCAAGTCAGCAAATTTCCAATCTGATACTCAATCTCCAGCTAGAGTAATGCTTCTAAACAAATAAACCTTTACTCAAGAACTTGTTGGAGTCTAACAGGGCTTTTCTTACCATGAATGTCAGTGTGGACATAGTGATCATAATGGTCACCGTTTATTAAGCCCTAGCCAGGAGGAGCCAGGACACTACCATTCATTCCTCACATAATCTCCTTTCTACAAATNTTAAAAAAAAAAAAAAAAGAAACCATGGAGGGAAGATGATATATCTTCAAACAGCCAAAGAGCTGACATGGAAGAGTGATCAAGTCAATCTGCCTATTCCTACTGAAAGACGGACACTTGGCTCAATTTAAGTGAGAGATTTCGGAGATTGTGTTTCAATGGAATAGCCTCCATGTGAGTCGTGAGACCCAAGTCACAGGAAGTGTTCAAACCGGGGCTGGATGGTGATTCTTGCCTTGGTCGGAAGCCCAGGCTGGTGATCTCTCTGGCCCTTTCCTGCTTGGAAATGCCATGACCCTAGAATTGCCTTTAGCCTGCTCTGCCCTGCAGATATGAAGCTCGGATCTGCAAAGCTGCTCACACTGCTGTCAGCGACAGAAGTTCATATGGAGGTAGAAAAACTCAAGCCTTCCAGAGCAGGTGCCCCAGAGGTGGGTCTCCCGCCCAAATAGGTAGCTACAAAAGCTGAGTCAAGCCCCAGCCAGCGTCTGATGCTGCCACGCCCAGGTATGGCTCCGGGGGACTATAAAGAGCAGTCTTTGGAAACTGTAACAGACTCCAGCTATCAGCTTTGATCTGAACCCCTGACGGCTGGGCCAGGAGCCAGTTCCTCTGCTCCTTGGGTGCTGACCATATCCTGCTGTGACCTCCTCTAATTTCAAAAGCATTTGAAGACTCTTGGGTCTTCCTTGCCCTGGCAGAGCCTTCTTGTCATTGTCAGCATACCTCAGGTCACACCTTCCCATCAATATCACTGTGGGCTGGGCAGGTGGAGATCAAAGCGGGAGGAGTTTTTCATCAATCATAACAGCAAAAAGATTAAGGAGAGTATATTTGTAGATTAAAAAAAAAAATCACAACTTATGTGAGTTATGCAGGTATTTGAAAATCAAGAGCTTATGCTTAAAGCCAGAAAACGTTAGAAAGAACTATATCAACAAAAATGAATCAAAATGTATTTCTTTAAGTGAATGGTTTGGCAAGCCTATTATATTTGAATCCTGCTAGACCAAATCTTTTGTTTATTTTCCTAAGAGTCTTTAAATGCCACCTGGGAGTCACTGGCTCACCCAGAGTCATGAATCATGCTCAAAATGTGCCCAGATTTTTAAGCCTGGTCTTGTGGGTGTCACAGTGCAAAACAAGAAGAAAGGTGCCATTTCTCAATGCACATTAGTATAAAACCATACAATCTATTTTGTAGGCCAATCATACAGGGTGGGATTGATAAGGCAAGGTAACGAGAGCAGAGAGAGAGAGAGAGGAGAGAGAGAGAGAGAGAGAGAGAGAGAGAGAGAGAGAGAGAGAGAGAGAGGGAGGCACTGGGGGCTCAGAACAGGCCTCTCTGAGGAGGGGAGCATTGAGCTGAGATCTAATTGGCACATGGGAGCCAGATTTAAAAAGATCTGGAGGCTGAGTATTTCAGGTGGAGAGAACTATAAAGTGGTGTAGCAGGTCCTGACAAATGTTATTTAAGGTGTGAATATTGATTTATTTGAATAGACAATCATTCGACGACCGAATATTTAAAGAGTACCTGCTATGTGCCAATAACTGTTGGAGGTGCTTGGATGATGTTAGGCTGGGACATTTCTTGTGGAGGGAGCAAGAATATTGGATAACAGTCCTGGCGTCTCTTGCCCCTGCTGCTCTGCTCTGATTCCTGGGGTGTACAGCCCTGCTTCCTCTGGACAGCCAGCCTGCCTTCTCCCTAACATGGGCTGAAAGAGGCCTGCCCCAGGATCTGGCCTGTGGTTCTCTAGTGATCGACACAGCTCCCTGATTCTGGCGTTCAGAATAAGGAAGTTCATTCTCCGACAAACAGAAGTCACATTCTCCATGATCAATTCTTACCTGGGATAAAGTAATACTTGAGCTTCCATCTGCCTGACTTCTATCTCCCTCTCGAGGTGAGGGGAGCTGCTAGTTATTGGGCTCTCCTACCAGAAGTGGCCAAGACTCGCATTCTAGTGTGGATAGACAAAAGGGAAAAAAAAAGTAAGTAAATAATAAACAAGGCAACCTCAGGAAGAGATAGATGCTACGAAGAAAATAAAGTAGTGTGATGTGTGTGAGAGAGAGAGAGGACTGGGGCACAGGGTAGGCCTCTCTGCGGAGAAGTGTATTGAGCTAAGACCTGATTGACATGTAGGGGCCAGACTTTACAAGATCGGGGGCAGATCATTCCAGGTGGAGGCAACTATATGTGCAAAGGTCCTGAGGTGAGCCTGCACTTGGTATGTTGAGATGATTCATAGAAATCCAGAGCTCTGTAGGCCAAGGAAGGAGTTTGGCTCTCATTCAGTGTGTCATGGGAGGCCACTCATCTCCCATTTATTCATTTATTTATTTAATCTTTATTTACAGAGAAAGATGGCAGAAATGATGGCATATTTGCATGTTGATGAGAATGATCCAATAGAGGGCAAAATACTGTGAGTTTCTTTGGTTTCTTTAGTCAGTATTGAAAATTTTTTTCACTTTTAGAGTTTCCACGAGGACTTTTGTCATGTTTTTGTTTTAATCTTTACAATGTATTTTATTTAATTCAATATGTTAAAAATATTATAATTTATTATTTAAAAATGTAAACAATACAAAAATATCAGCCAGGTATTTAAAATTATTTGTATACTAATTCTTCAAAATTGGGTGTGTATTTTACCCTAACAACTTATCTTTATTGGAACTCAACTCATTTGAAGTTCTCAAAAGCCACATGTGACATGTCGTTACCATCTAGGAGGCCACAGCTCTAGACCTTTCTGAAACCAGTACAGGGCAGGGTGGTACCCTGGTCAGTGTGCCCTTCATTTTTGGTCTCTGATCTGTGCCATCTCTATTGTGATTCTATGGCTACGATTCCTGATTCTATGGCTCTAATTCATGTTGAGGAAGCACCTTGATAACTAAATGTTGAGGTGCCAGTTTTAGATACTGATACAGCTGGATGCGAGCTATGGCAGTACCTGGAATAGTCACACCAACTCTCCTCTCCCCAGTATGGTGACTTCCTGGTCACGTGGTCTGTGTTTTCTTCATAGTGCCTTTCATGCTGCTCTCTGATCCTCTTCTGTTCTTTCCCTTGAATTTTAAAAAATTTAAATTTCTTATTCTGAGATAATTGTAGATTTACACGCAATTATAAGAAATAATACAGAGAGATCTCCTGTACCTTTACTCAGTTTCTCCCAAGGGCAGAGCTGGCCGCCCTGCCCCCAACCCACTTCCCAGAAGTCAACCCTGTGACTGTTGGAGGCCTTCTGTCCTGGGGGACCCCCTCATCCAGCCTCCCTCCAGGCTTTTAATCCAGAATCCTAAAGTGCTTTAACCTCCATTCTTTACACCTGCACACCCTCTAGTGGGGGTGCTTTGCATACACAAACTGCGGACAAGGAGCCGGAGTGGCAGGCAGCAGGCATGACCCCAGTCAGCATCTAAATTCTTGGTCCCACCTAGTTCCCACCAGACCTTGACTAGCTACGTTGGTTTTTTTCCTTACCAGGGCTGAGAGGGAACCTGGAACAATGCTACCTGCTACAAAAAAGACACCAGATTTTTTACAATAGCAACCCTAACAAGCCTAAGGCCTTTTCACCTGGAGGTAATAATAACCTTGTAATAAGAACCATTTATGGGAGCCCTTATTAAGCGCCAGGCATTGCTTTAAGTGTTTTGTTTATGTTAGTTTGTCTGATTCTCATAATAACACTCCTCAGAAGTAGTACTACTACTATTTCTTTTCTAGAAGAGGACACTGGTGCTTGGGAAGTTCACTGCAGGAGACAGTATGTGCTGTAGTTAGCAGCTCAGGTGACCACCTGGGTTTGTCATCCTGGTTCTTTCTGCCCCTTACAAGATGTGTGGCCTTGGGCTTATGTTATATAACCTTTTGTGACTCAGTTTCCTCCTTGTTAAGTGGGGATGATGACAGAATCTCCCTCCCAAGGGGCTGAAACTGCAATTAAATCTTGGTTTGCTGTTCTAGGCCAAAGGACACCACCGTTGGGCCTGTTGTTTCTTTACCAGTGCTTACCACCAAATGACCTACTGTGTGCATTTCTTACTTAGTGCTTCTCAGCTGACTAGTATGTCAGCTCCAGGAGAGCAGGAAAATATTTACTGCTTTATCTCTATTGTGTACAACAGTGCCAGCCCCATAGTGGCCCTCAAAAAATATTTGAATGAATGTTGAGGAGTTTCACGACTTTTCAATTTTGCATATTTGCATTTAAAAATATATAGGGAATCTTACAAGTGTTGGTGGACTATTTAAAGTCTGATTTTTTTTTTTTGAGAGGAGTGGTATTCTTAGTGCAGTTTAACTACTGTGGTTTGTATCAACATAACCGTCAAAAGCAAGGGGCAGAATAGGCCTTCAAGATATATTCCTTGAATTGATGCCTCTTTGGAGCGCGGTAGCAGTATGTGTAATCTGCAGGGGTGCAGCTTGGTCGTAGTGCTAGAAGCCCCGGGGGTGCAATGGTTCGGACACAGTCACCGCAGACATGTTAGTGGGGTCGAGAGTAAGCTGGATAAGTTACAGTATCAAAACACGCGACTCCATCACTGAGATGGACCCAGTTTCAGGCAAGGCAGCGGGAGAGCCTCCACCGCGCAGCATCAGAAGACGCTGGGCGGGGCTGCGCAGCCGCAGAAGTAGCCCGAGGCCGGCGCGGGGCACCTCGTCCCGCACTGTTTTGCGCCTGGCTTGAGGCAGCTGGAGCCGAGTTGGCCTGGCCCCTGCGCCCCTGACCGCGGCGGGTGAGGCTGGTTCCGCTGCTCCTGCCTCGGGTTGCGAACCGTCCTCCCCAGAGCCGCCGCCATCATGCTGCTGCCCGTGTTCACCCTGAAACTGCGCCAGAAAATCAACCCCCGCATGGTGGCCGTAGGGCGCTACGACGGGATTCACCCGTGCCTGGCGGCCGCCACCCAAGCAGGCAAGGTAACAGCTCCCACTTGCACGGAGCCCGGTCTCTTAGCCTCCTTACACCCTCCGCGGGCCTTTACCCTGGGATCCCGCCCCTAATTCTCCGACCCCGCCCCCAGCCAGGGTTGCCCGGCAACCGGTCGGTAGGCACCCTATAATTCATCCTGCACAGAA